GGTTGAACTAGAAGGAATCTCAGAAGTTATTCTGAGATTAATAGCCCCATGTCCCTATTTTACAGTTTTGGAAATAGACTTTGAATAAGGAGATGATTTCCTCTCCTTGTCTCTCCCCTTCCATCTCTAGTTTGGTGCTTGGCCTGTGGCTCTCCTCTTGCTCTTTTGAGGAAATTTCAGGGGTTCTTTTGGCTTTAACCAACATCCCCCTACCAGAGATTCCAAGATTTGTATTCCTAGTTTGATTATACTAAGCCCCACCTTTTAATTGTTTACAGAACATTCCTATCTGATATTTTAGATTCTCCTGAAGCACAGCCTGTTCAAAGGTGAATTAATGATCTTTTCTCATCTCTATTATTACCTGCTTTAGAAAATGGCACCTGCTCTCAATGCAGGGGGCCCAGGTCAGGGAACTAGATCCCACATGCTGCAACTAAGGGTTGGAATGCTGCAATGAAGATTGAAGATCCTATGTCCTGCAACTATGACTCAGCATAGCCACATAAATAAATATATATATATTAAAAATAAATAAACATAGTTAAAGAAAATGGCACCAGATCCCCTGAATCACTCAAATTAAACTAGATATTATGTTTATATCTCCTCCTTTAATGTCCTCCCCAAATCCAATCAATCACTGAGACCTCTCATTTTACCACCTAAAATGTCTATTTGTCCTTTTCTGTATATATATATATATTTCCCCCCCAAGCCGCACAGCTTGTGGGATCTTAGTTCCCCCACCAGAGAGTGAACCTGGACCCCTGACAGTGAGAGCGAGGAGTCCTAACCATTGGACCGCCAAGGTATTCCCCATCATCACTGTATTAGACCACTATCTTTTGCTTGGACTTGCTGCAATATTCTTCTAACTCCTCATGTACTCATCTCTCCCTGAATCTCCTTTCCACACTGCAATCACAGTGAACTTCTTAAAACATAAACCTGAGAACACTATGCTTCTATTAACCCTTTACTAGATGATCACTGCTTGTAGTTAACAACTAAAGACTCTATTTTTCTTCTTTCTGCCCATTCTTGAGTCTCATTTAGTTTCATCCTGTGTCTCATGATGCACCAGTCACACTGGCCTTTTTTTCAGTTCCTCACCAGTGCCAAAGCTTCTTCCCTGCCTGAGGTCTTTGCACACATTATCTCTCACATTCCTTCCCTCCTAGACTGGTTAATTTCTGGTCACCTATCAGGTTCTAGCTGAAGCTCAGGACTTCAGAGAAAAGTTCCTGGTCTTCTGACTAAGTGAGGTCCATCTATGCTTTCTCATGCACTCACTCTACACAATTGTGATTGAATAATTATTTTAATAGCTGTTTGCTGTCAGTTTCCCTGACTATAGACTTCAAGGGGAAGTGAACTCTCAAGACTTTCTCTCCAGCACATTGCCTCAGTTCAGTTCAGTTCAATCACTCAGTCGTGTCCGACTCTTTGCGACCCCATGGACCGCAGTGTGCCAGCCTCCCTGTCCATCACCAACTCCCAGAATTTACCCAAACTCATGTCCAATCAGTTGGTGATGCCATCCAACCATCTCATCCTTCGTCATCCCCTTCTCCTCCTGTCTTCAATCTTTCCCAGCATCAAGGTCTTTTCAAATGAGTCAGCTCTTCGCATCAGGTGGCCAAAGTATTGGAGTTTCAACTTCAACATCAGTCCTTCCAGTGAACACCCAGGACTGATCTCCTTTAGGATGGACTGGTTTGATCTCCTTGCAGTCCAAGGGATTCTCAAGAGTCTTCTCCAACACCACAGTTCAAAAGCATAAATTCTTCGGTGCTCAGCTTTCTTTACAGTCCAATTCTCACATTCATACATGTCTACTGGAAAAACCATAGCCTTGACTAGATGGACCTTTGTTGGCAAGGTCTGTCTGCTTTTTAATATGCTATCTAGCTTGGTCATAACTTTCCTTCTAAGGAGCAAACGTCTTTTAATTTCATGGCTGCAATCACCATCTGCAGGAATTTTGGAGCCCCAAAAATAAAGTCAGCCACTGTTTCTCCATCTATTTGCCATGAAGTGATGAGACCAGATGCCATGATCTTAGTTTTCTGAATGTTGAGTTTTAAGCCAACTTTTTCACTCTCCTCTTTCACTTTCATCAAGAGGCTCTTTAGTTCTTCACTTTCTGCCATAAGGGTGGTGTCATCTGCCTATCTGAGGTTGTTGATATTCCTCCCGGCAATCTTGATTCCAGATTGTGCTTCATCCAGCCCAGTGTTTCTCATGATGTACTCTGCATATAAGTTAAATAAGCAGGGTGATAACATATACAGCCTTAACACACTCCTCGCCCTCAATAAATACTTGTTATGTTAGTAGAGGGACTGAATGGTCTATGCACCTAGTGGTAGAGGAGAAACTAGAATCCAAAGTCATTTCTGACACAGTATTCTTTTCTCTGCCACCCTAAGATGATACCCCACACTCCAGACTTCCTCTCCCTCTTCCCAATGATTAATTATATGCCTTCCCCCCCCCCCCCCTTTTTGGCTGCGCTGGGGTTTTTCTTGCTGCAAGCGGGCTTCCTCTACTTGTGGTGGGTGGATGCAGAGGCTTTTCATTGTGGTAGCTTCTCTCATTGCAGAGCATGGGCTCTAGGGCACTCGGCTTCAGTAGCTGCAGCCTGTGGGCTCTAGTGCACAGGTTTAGTTGTGGCAAACAAGTTTAGTATTTCCCACAACATGTGGAATCTTCCTGCATCTGTGATCAAACCTGTGTCGCCTGCATTGGCAGGTGGATTCTTAATCACTGCACCACCAGGAAAGTCCTATATGTCTTAATTTTTTTTTTTTTTTTTACTGTGCTGTGTCTTAGTTGCAGCATGTGGGATCTAGATCTCTGACTGGGGATTGAACCTGTGCCTCCTGCTGTGGTATCCAGGAGTCTTGGCCACTGAACCACCAAAAGTCCCTAAATATATATCAATATTGTGTGTTCTGTTCAGGGGCCTGTTAAAGCCAATCTTGTGAACTAATTCAGATTTAGAGACTATCCTTCCTCCCAGGATATCTGCCTTTTAACTGGGAACTCCTGTAGGACAGAAAGTAATCCCAAAGGGACTAATCAAAATTACAGGCACTAAGAAAATATTATTGAAAGGAGGGAATTTTCACTATCATCCCTTAATGGGATTATAGGAAAGAAACTTAAAATGTACCAGATTTGCTTTAATGTTTTTGTTTTTTGATTTATGGAACTTTATCTTTGCAACAAACCTGTTAGGTAGATATTATTATCCCTTTCACCAAATGAGGGACTCTCTGAAAGTTTTAGTAATTTACCTAGAGTCATAAATCTGTTGAGGAGGCCTGTATTTAGTCACTCCCCCTCCCAGGTTATGACTCCTAGTCTAATCCTATTTTTACCATACACGCCTAAAAGGGTAGGCTAGGCAACTTCTTATAGCTTACACATAAATCTGGGTCATGAAGTTAACTAAGTAATCTTTCTTTTCTTTTTTTAAAAAGGCTTACCAGGTTACTTTTTTTCCTTTGGTGGGATCTATGCTCTGAACCTGGATTCTGCCAGAAATCTATCATATTTGGTACCTCACCTTATCCATTCCAACCATAAATGTGATTAGGGGCAGGAAAAAAGTATTTTGAGCACTTTTGGCAAAATTATGGTGCAACATCCAAGATATGTTATCACTTATTTTACTACTGAGTCCACTAAAGCTTCCTATATCCAGGGAGTGGATGGTATCAGGTTGACCCTTAAGAGTGCATTCTTCATCTGTTTACTACTATTTGCAAAAACAAAAGCTTATAGGAGATGGGCTGTCCCATATCAAATATGCTTGCAGGGGTCAGGTTTGCCTCTGATGAAAAATGCTTCTGCCCACCCTTTGTGTATATGTGTGTGTGCTCAGTGGCTAAGTCCTGTCTGACTCTTTACGACCCCATGGACTGTAAACCCACCAGGCTTCTCTGTCCATGGGATTCTCTAGGAAAGAATACTGGAGTGGGTTGCCATTTCCTCCCCTAGGGAATCTTCTCAACCCAAGGATAGAACCTGTATCTCCTGTGTCTCCAGCTTTGGTAGGCAGGTTCTTTACTACGAGTGCCACCCCCATCCTTTAGACTTCCTCAATACAAATTTCTCTTAGGGTTGGAGGGACACTATTATGTTCCTCTCAATGTCAGACAAACTTCTTTAATAGCTTTGTGACCTTGGGCACATGCCTTAACCTCTGTTTCCTCAGTTGTAAAGTGACAGCTATTTTGATGCTGAAAGTCTTTAATGTTTGAAAGCACCTGACAACAAAACGCAGTCTACAGCAGGTATTTAAAGAGCATTAATTTCCTTCCTTCTCCAGGTAAGGGCTCATTGAAAGAACAGTAAAATTTTGTGTAGATGTGTGAAGTGTGTTTTTCTTGGAAAGAAAATCCACAGTCTAACATTATCACGGGGGCCAGCGATGTCCCTGAAAAAGAATTGTAGATTCTCCTGCCTGCAACCGCCAAAGGGTAAATCTCTTTCTCCGGGGATCAGATTTTTTGTGGATATTTTTGTTCTCTGGGTACTCTTTCTTGTAGACTGATAACAGAAGAGGATGAGCAGGTGAGGGGCTTTCTCTCTCAGGGCAGGGTCCCTTTGAACTTTCCCTGAGGGCTCTGTGACTCCCGTTTGTGTTCCCTCCCATAAGAGGGGTAGTGTGCCATCTGCAACTGGGAAGCAGGTTTAAGGTCGCTCGGCCTTCGAGGGTCGCTTCCTCACAGAAAAACCAACTTTTGTGGGTTTCCTCAAGCTAAAGGGACTCTCTTCAGTTCCAGCTGTTAGTCAAAACCTCGTGGTGCAACCCTGGCCGCCAATCCCACCCTCCTAGGCCCCAATCCCGAGGCGGTGGGGGCGGGGAGGCCGCGCGCGCCGCTTCCGCTCCTCCACACCACCAGAGGGCGCTGCGGCCCCGCCTCTGCCTTCCCGGGGTGCTTCGCGCCGGGCCCCTTCCGCGTGGGCGAGTGAATGTGAGAGTCAGCGTCGCGCCGCGCGCGCCGACCGCCTCCGCCGCCCGGCGCTCTTATTTCGGCTGCGAGGGGCGAGCGCGCGCGTAAAGGCATAGAGACGGGCGTTGAGCTATCGGGCTAGAGCGTCGCCGAGTCGGAGCCGGAGCCCGAGCCGCGCGCTGTGTCTCCGCTGCGTCCGCCGAGGCCCCCGAGTGTCAGGGACAAAAGCCGCCACCGCGCCTCCTGCTCTCGTCGCCGGGGCTCATCCGCTGCCACCGCCGCCCTGAGGAGAGTCTGCCGCCGTCTTCACCCGTGAGGATCCGAGAGCCATGTCGGCTAGCAGCCTCTTGGAGCAGGTACAGGCCCGGCCCGCATGCCTCGGCCATTGTGTGAGGCGAGAGGGAGCCAGACTAGGCCCGGACCCGCCGCCCCCAGTCGGGTCAAGGCGAGGCGGCGCCTCTCGCGGCCCAGGTTTCGAGCCTCTCAGGCCGGCCGCGCCCAGCGCCTCGCCCTCGGCCCGTTCTCCCCGCTCTTCCCCGGGCCTCGGAGCCCGCCTGCCGCGCCGCGTCCCTTCCTCTCAGCGGGCCTCGTTTTTCTCTTGTTTCCTTCCCCTTCCTTGAAGCCCTGGCCCCCTCGCGTTGTTCGTGGCGCGGCCCCGGCTCCTCTCCGCGGCCCCCTCCGGCTTCGCACTTCCCCCGCCTCCCATCTTCAGCCTCCCCCTCCACCCCCGTTCCTGACGCCGCTCCTCAGGCCTGCGCCTTTATTCCCTTCTCGGGCCCGGCTTTAATTTGTCTTTCCTTTTCCGTTTCTTCCTCGGACGACTTGCCGCTCGGCGACGTTTCCTTCGCCTGCAGAGACCAAAAGGTCAAGGAAACAAAGGTGAGCCCGGCTCCGCCGGTGGCCCGGGGCGGGCGGGGGGACCCTGAGTGGGGGGGGCGGGGTCTCCGGGAAGCGCCAGGGGGAGAGGACCTTTCGGAAGCCGCTTGCTTTGCAGGTGCCTCACGCTTAAGTGTTTGACCCTTTCGGTGTGTTCCTGCAGCTGACGAACAGCTTTTTAGTGAACAAGGAGTAATTCATTGGAAGTGGGGGGTGGAATCGGTTTTGAAATGTTCCAGGTCCTTAGTTTCCTGTAGGTCTTAGAAGGCCTTTGTTTTTCATCCTCGTGGATCACACTCTGGAAGTACTCACATGTGGTGGGGGAGGGGAAGCGGGAGGGAATTGAAATCTAGAGGAGCCAATAAAATGACCTTTTTAGATCAACTCTCCCTGGGTGGAGGGAGACATTTTCACTGACGAATTGTTGCTCGGCATTCACTCTCATCTTTACCGTTTTGAAATACAAATTTAACTTGCTCTGTTTAGTAAGGTTTTTCTCTTGTTAGGAGGTATTTGATTAATTTGGGAGGTAGATTGTACGATTGAGACGCTCCTAATTGGAATTTTTTTTCCTCTAGTACAAAATGGATCTGTACATCAAAAGGATGGATTAAACGATGATGATTTTGAACCTTACTTGAGTCCACAGGCAAGGCCCGTGAGTAGTTAACCATTTACATGCTTGATCATAGGATGTAGTATACGTTTATTCTTTGCTCTCCTCTAGCAATAAATCTGATTTTCACTGGATGACTTTCTTAATACCAGTCAGCATGTTATAAAAAAAAAGTTGCTACAGATGTTGTAGGCTGTTAAGATTCTCATCTCTATTGTCAGCGAACAATTCTCTGAGGCTAGTACTGATGACATTTTATAGTGTACTAACAGCAACACTTGTTTGAGTAGTTCTTCCTCCTTACCAAGAATATAACTGCAAAACTTAAGAGTACTTTTCTGTGTTAAATATTTTCACTCCCAAAACATTTTTCACGTTGGCTTCTTTGGGGAGCTATAGAATTTACAAAATGGATTTAAAGTAATGTAAGATACTGTTTAGCACAAAGATCAAGAATAATGGAATTCAGTTTTTGTAATGTAATCTATTTTCTAATGTGAAGTCGAGAGTTGCATGTAGGTTCATGTATGAACATGACCTGTACACACAAAAAGTTTTGACTTGGTAGTTCTTTGTATTAGTATTTTGAATCCCAAAGACAGAGCCACAAAGTTGTAGCTAATAAATATAACTCCCCAGACTAATTAGCCAAAAGGAAAATTGACAGTAACTCATTCAGAATATCGTAGAAGATAGAGAAGCTTCTGGAACATTTATATAAATTCTGAACAGATGCTCTGATATATATAATGGTCTTGAATAACTTGACATATTAGTGAGAGTACATGTTTGGGCCTAATTCTTGCGTAAAACTCTTTGATTCCTTATGTAAAAGTTTCTGCATTGAAAGTGTAGAAACCACTTAAGCAAGTAATTGGGGAAAAGTTTTTACAGAAGACAACCAGTTAATCAGGAAAAGTAGGGAAGGAAGTAGAGGAATGAACTATCACTGGGTTCCTGCTATTGAAGTAGTTTGCTTACATAATCATAACAGGGAGAGTGGTAGCATTTGGAAACATAATTCTAGGTAGTTCTTGTGAAACATTGTGTAATTCAGAGTTTTGAGCTCAGGGGCATGTGGGAACCTGCCAGATCAGGTGTAGGCATTCAGCTGTTATAACAGCATAATGTGTTATAATGAGTGCATTTGTTTTATTAAAAAGAAAGCTAAAACTTAAATATCTTGAAAAACTTGGGGGGGTATATAAATTTTGGTTGAGAAGACATAGTTTGAGAATCTTTGTAGTTTGTCAAGAGTGTTTCATCTATTTTTTAACCAATTTTTATTACATTATTTGGAATAATTATTCAGGCTTAATCTATTAAGTGTACACTAAATTTCTTATTTATAATGAATTTGGGGCTGTTAAAATTATAACACTATCTTTGAGACGTAGATTTTTCGTAAACTTGAGGGTATATGTCACTTAGTTTTGTAAAAGAAAGTTTTAAATTGGTATAGAGAAAAGCACCACTATATAATCAAACTGCATTAGTTGAAAAATTTAATCTTCAGGAGATGTGTTTTAGTGGCCAGGGAGAAGTACTCTTGGCTTTGATAATACAAACCAATACAGACCTAGCATATTTATAGTTTTGATCATCCAAGTCTCTTAAGAACAACATTCCCTATTGACTAGTTAGTGGATTCTTACATACCAGAGCTCTTTTGAAGTTAGGTTAAAGCACTCTATTTTTGAGTTGAGCTGACTCTGCATGTATAGAAACCCATTATATGTATCTGTTACTTTGATTTAAGGGACTACTTTGTGAGTTATAGGGTTTATTTTAAAATACTGTCAGCACAGATGAAAGAATGTCTTTACAATGTAATTTGTTTTCTGATGTGAAGACTAGTTGGGTAAAACTTTTTCTGGTTGTTATTCTCAAGGATGATTCCTCTTTTAAAGATATAAACTGTACCATGCCTTTAGAAATTAATTCCTGTTTTTAATGGAAAAGTTAAGTGTACATTTTAGCTACAGCCTTTACTTTTATAGATGAAACAGAACAAGTAGCAATACTTGTTTAGTTTTGAATCCTCTGGAAGCCACTGTGTACTTTCTTTCCAGGTTATAATTTTTTTTTCATTTTTTAAAATTTCAGGTTGTAATTAAATAGTGGCATCTACTGATGTTCTCAGATGGTCTGCCAGAAAGCTGTATTATAAACTAGATGTGTTGAACTTTTCTTTTTGGTTTATGGTTGGATAATGGCTGCACAGATTTTGGGGATAGAAATTGAAATTTCCAGTTCATTTTGTTGTTTTATTATACAATGCAGTTTTAATAGGAAACTCTTTTGAATATTATTCTGTTCTGCCATATTCCCATTCCTTCAGTCCAGAGATAGTGGTTTTAATAAAGGCATCCTCAGAGAGCGGGCTTCCCAGGTAACTCAGATGGTAAAGAATTAGCCTGCAATGCAGAAGACCCTGGTTCCATTCCTGGGTCAGGAAAATAGGCTGGCGAAGGGATAGGCTACCCACTGAAGTATTCTTGGGCTTCCCTTGTGGCTCAGCTGGTAAAGAATCCACCTGCAATGAGGGAGATCTGGGTTCTCCCTGGATTAGGAAGATACCCTGGAGGAGGGTATGGCAACCCACTCCAGTATTCTTGCTTGGAGAATTAACCATGGACAGACACGCCTGGTGGGCTACAGTCCATGGGGTCTCAAAGAGTCAGACACTGAGTGGCTAAGCACACATTCTTTCTCACAGAACAGGACTTACACTTGGTGAGATGCTGGGTTTTCCCTTATCTGAATTGAAGCACTAAAAGCTAAGGCCTGTGTTCACTGTATGTCAGTTTAGTTTTAAATGTTTAAACACTTCAATGATTAAACCAAAATATCTTAGTCTATAAAAATACCAGCAAGTTTATGGGAAGAGACCATCTGGAAAAAAAAAACTCATTTTTTTATGGTAATGGCTGAAATGTTTGTACTGTATGAATAATTGGGAGAGGAAATGTCCTGGTGGTTTTATTTATTTTTGTGTTTAGTTTTAATTTGCCTTTTTTTTTTTTTCCTTTCACAGAATAATGCATATACTGCCATGTCAGATTCCTACTTACCCAGTTACTACAGTCCCTCCATTGGCTTCTCCTATTCTTTGGGTGAAGCTGCTTGGTCTACTGGGGGTGACACAGCCATGCCCTATCTAACTTCTTATGGACAGCTGAGCAACGGAGAGCCTCACTTTCTACCAGATGCAATGTTTGGACAACCAGGAGCCCTGGGTAGCACTCCATTTCTTGGTCAGCATGGTTTTAATTTCTTTCCCAGTGGGATTGACTTCTCAGCTTGGGGAAATAACAGTTCTCAGGGACAGTCTACTCAGAGCTCTGGATATAGTAGCAATTATGCTTATGCACCTAGCTCCTTAGGTGGAGCCATGATTGATGGACAGTCAGCTTTTGCCAGTGAGACCCTCAATAAGGCTCCTGGCATGAATACTATAGACCAAGGGATGGCAGCACTGAAGTTGGGTAGCACAGAAGTGGCAAGCAATGTTCCAAAAGTGGTAGGCTCTGCTGTTGGTAGTGGGTCCATTACTAGTAACATCGTGGCTTCCAATAGTTTGCCTCCAGCTACCATTGCTCCTCCAAAACCAGCATCTTGGGCTGATATTGCTAGCAAGCCTGCAAAACAGCAACCCAAGTTGAAGACCAAGAATGGCATTGCAGGGTCAAGTCTTCCGCCACCCCCAATAAAGCATAACATGGATATTGGAACTTGGGATAACAAGGGTCCTGTGGCAAAAGCCCCCTCACAGGCTTTGGTTCAGAATATAGGTCAGCAGCCAACCCAAGGGTCTCCGCAGCCTGTAGGTCAGCAGGCTAACAATAGCCCACCAGTGGCTCAGGCATCAGTAGGGCAACAGACGCAGCCATTGCCTCCACCTCCTCCACAGCCTGCTCAGCTCTCAGTGCAGCAGCAGGCAGCTCAGCCAACCCGCTGGGTAGCACCTCGGAACCGTGGCAGTGGGTTCGGTCATAATGGGGTGGATGGCAATGGAGTAGGACAGACTCAGGCTGGATCTGGATCTACTCCTTCAGAACCTCATCCGGTGTTGGAGAAGCTGCGGTCCATAAATAACTATAACCCTAAGGATTTTGACTGGAATCTGAAACATGGCCGGGTTTTCATCATTAAGAGCTACTCTGAGGACGATATCCACCGCTCCATTAAGTATAATATCTGGTGCAGCACAGAGCACGGTAACAAGAGACTGGATGCTGCTTACCGCTCCATGAACGGGAAAGGCCCCGTTTACTTACTGTTCAGTGTCAACGGCAGTGGACACTTCTGTGGCGTCGCAGAAATGAAATCTGCTGTGGACTACAACACATGTGCAGGTGTGTGGTCCCAGGACAAATGGAAGGGTCGTTTTGATGTCAGGTGGATTTTTGTGAAGGACGTTCCAAATAGCCAACTGCGACACATTCGCCTAGAGAACAACGAGAATAAACCAGTGACCAACTCCAGGGACACTCAGGAAGTGCCTCTGGAAAAAGCTAAGCAGGTGTTGAAAATCATAGCCAGCTACAAGCACACCACTTCCATTTTTGATGACTTCTCACACTATGAGAAACGCCAAGAGGAAGAAGAAAGTGTTAAAAAGGTAACCGGCTTACTTTTCTTAAAACTTTTAAGGGAAGGAGAAGGAACCCTTTTTAAGACTTAAAGGGAAGGAGAAGGAACTAGAGAGAACAGGAGAGGTATAATACTGAACCATTAATAAAAGCTTTGTAAGTAACACAAGTATCATTTAACAGTTCAAGTCTTTATGGGAGGATAATTGGTCTTATTATTTGAACCTTAGTGTGAAAGAGTGTGGGAACTTTAATAGGGGACAGAAATGTGGGCTTAAGTTAAAGGAAAGCAGAAACCATAGAGAGACTGACTTTGAGATGCAGGAACAGGTAAAGAATGAGTCTGAAAAGTACACAAAGGGAGTAATTGAAGTGAAAGAAACAAAACTGAAAGTAGGAAAAGATTGAGGCTATAATGTGGCAGAGAAAGAGATTAAAATTCTGTTGCAGGTTTTGGCCTAGCTGAGTACTTGGTTATTTTCAAGAGTCACCAAGCCCTGACATTTCTGCCTGCCTACTGACAACTGGCAGTGTTAAGGAGGATGTTTTTCAGAACTTTCTTCCTTGCTCCTGTCTTTTGTAGTGTTCTGCTTAATCTTTTTTTTTTTTTCCCCAAGATCTTTTTCCCATTAGAAAAGTTTATGTTTATTATATAAAACTTGAAAAACAGATGGTCAGAAAAAGCTGGCCTCTTGCTCTTAACATTTTGCTGTATTCCTAAAGATCCACTTTCTTGTTTTCCTCTGTAACAGGTGGTTATCTTGGACAGAGTGATGGGGAATAGTTCTGTACTGAAAGGTTGAATTTATTTGAAAGAGTGGTCTGGTGCATTGAATGTGTAAGGACCATAAGTGAATGATAAAATACTGGTCAGGGCAGATCACATATTATCCCGAACTTAAGCATATTTAAATGTAGAAAGTAGGTGAAAAGATAATGACGAGGAGGAAATATTTTTTAAAAATATTTTTTAGTGATAGAATCCTGAGTGGTTAATTTCAAATGTAAAATAAACAAAACCTAACAGACTTATGTAAATATATTCTCCTTGAATTGGTCATTAATTCATAGGAATCTTCTGTAATTGATCTAGGACCTGAGGCACTTGTTTTGCCTCTGTAAAGGAGGACTGCTCAAAGGAATAATTTCGCTCAGGTAGATTCTCTACCTCCATAACACAGAATCAGAGGTCGGTAGTTGCCTAAAACAGGATGGTTGACTTTTATCTTCTGGTATGTACAGACAAATAAAAAATAGAGATATACTTGTCAGTGATGCTGAAAGTATTGGGGAGATAGAGCCAGATTACTGGAAAGTTGGTTGTCAGAAAAAACTTGCTCCTTTTCTAGAGTTTTAACCATTTAACTTAAAGTTTTCCATAATGTTGTAGAAAAAAGATAGTTGATTATTTTTGCCAAACTTGTGAAAGGCTCTAAGTATGTCTGCACAGGCTTCTCTTTCTGGAGGAACAAGAGAGGAGACTGGCTTTTTGGGCATCATGTAATGGCAGAGCAGATTATTAACGTGTGTGAGGGGCATCCAGGTGCTTGGTTTAATCACTGGCAACATGCATAGTATCTATTATATATTAAGAACCTGCTTGCTTTCATCTGCAAAGTTCTGTTCTACATCTTGTGGTTTTAAAAGAAGGCAAAGGACTATTTTTTGGAATGTACAGCTTAACTGTTAAGATGATTCGGTATTTGTTAGAACTAGTGGAGAAGCTGTTTAAAAATGAAGTAGCAAGTTTGAGGATTGTTAACTTATGTTCAGTCTTTATCAAGTATTATATTCACTTGAGTGGTTCAGTGAATAATAAAACTTCGTAAGAAGCTGTAAGATACATTGACCAGCATTGTATTTTCAAAGAGTGAGTGTAGTAATCAAGCTAGGGTCTTTGTTAAGGTAACTGATGGACCTTTCATAAAGACTTTCGATGAATGAGTATCCTAATTGTTCTCAGGTGAACTAATCACCAAAAATAAAAATAAAAGCTATTACACTTGTGTCAGATTACTTTTTAGTTTACTTTCTGTAAGAAGAACTTGCTGAGGTTTCAGGAAGGTCCCTATGATTGCTTCCAAACCTGGTTACCCTTTCAGTCAGTATTGCCTTACTCCTGTGTTGCCCACTGTTATTCTTTAACATGCTTACATAACTGACTGTAAACGGTTCTTTTTAGTCTTTATTAGGCTTCTAAGACAAAACAAGTTTCATGAGAATGGGACTGATAGCTCACTGAAGCAGTAAACTCCCTAAAGTGGGGTGTTTGTGTGCCTGCCTTGGTATTATTTACAAGATTGCAAAAGATCTTTTGACCAAATGGTAACTCAGTAGGGGAATACTTAATACTTCATCCTGAAAATGATGTCACAGCTGTTCTAAAGTTCTGTGATTGGGCATGTTTCTTGGCAGAACACAGTGAAGCAGACTACAGCCGTTTTTGCCTTGTTCTATCACATGATCTAATTCAATATCATAAAACCTTCTCAAGATCTATCTGGCTTGAGTATCTCAGCTGTCTGGCTTGACGCTTCCAGCAAATTTTAGTGACTTCCGTGCATGGTTTACTTTGTTGTGCACTTTAGATACTGTTTTGTAAACTCTTTCTGCATTTGTTTCTATCTGCCCCTAATTGTTAAATATTCTGTGACATCACTTTTGAAGGCTTCATAGTATTCTATCAAAGATTTATTGTAATTCACCAGTCCCTGCTGAGTAAGTCGGCTTCTTTATACTTTTTTCCTGGCTAAAATAACCCTGTTGTAAACATTCCAAGGGGCTTCCCTGATAGCTCAGTTGGTAAAGAACCCGCCTGCAATGCAGGAGACCCTGGTTTGATTCCTGGGTCGGGAAGATCCTCTGGAGAGGGGACAGGCTACCCACTCCAGTATTCTTGGGCTTCCCTTGTGGCTCAGCTGGTCAAGAATCCACCTGCAGTGCGGGAGACCTGGGTTCGAGCCCTGAGTTGGGAAGATCCCCCTGGAGAAGGGAAAGGCTACCCACTCCAGTATTCTGACTTGGAGAATCCCATGGACTGTATATTCCATGACGTCACAAAGAGTCAGACATGACTGAGTGATTTTCACTAACTCTAACATTCTAAGATATAAATATTGATTCACACCTATCCTTAAGTGTAGGGTCAAAGGATATACTTTTTGAAGGTCTTGGCTGTGTTATACATTGTCATGAGCCTTTTTCTTTTGTTGAGAGAGCTCTGTCAGAAATTCAAAAGGCAGCGACAGTCAATTTTTCCCTCTATTTCAACTTTGGAGTAGTCGGGGATAGAGGGAGAGTTGCTCCTTGCATTAGTGATAATTTTGTTTATAAACCTCATCAAATAGTTGGCTTGGTTTTATCTTTCTTGCCTTTTAACTCTAGGCAAAAATAAGATAGGCTTTCTTGGTGGCTTAGTGGTAAAGAATCTGCCTGTCAATGCAGGAGACGTGGGTTTGATCCCTGGGTCGGGAAGATTCCCCTGTAGAAGGGAATGGCAACTCACTCCAGCGTTCTTGCCTAGGAAATCGCATGGACAGAAGAGCCTGGTGGGTTACAGTCCGTGGGGTCACAAAGAGTTGGACATGACTTAGCGACTAAACAACAACAACAAATATGATAGTCTAGTAGAGGGGACTAAGGGCTGTGTAATTCTCTTAAAGTCTAGCCCAACATTAGACTCAGATATCTAGGTAAGCGTTTATCCAGTTGTTTTAACTGGAAAGCTCAGGGGAGTTTAGGAGAGACAGATCTAGAGAAAATGTGATTATAATGACAATACCTTAAGGTATATATTTTTAAAAATTCCATTGCTAGTAAGTGAGAATAGTAGGATTTCTTTACATCTAGGATACTAATTTTCAAGCAGAGGACTAAAAATGGACTTAATTGTATTTGAATATAATGAAAATTTATTATGGTGTGTAAGAATAGAGATGAAGCTATTTTTTCTTTGAGCAATTTTACTATGTGCTAGACTCTACAGAAAAATCAGAGGAGTCTTGTCAGGGAGCCTTACATTAGTGACATGTAACAGTACAAAATGGAAAGTGTTTTCTCAAGGTATGCACAAGGTGCCAGTTTGAAAGCTTGAAGATTGCCTAATCCAATTTGGGGTGTGGGTTGATTGATCATGGAAGAATCCTCAAAGAAGTGATCTCTAAGCTGTGCCTCGGAAAATAGTAGATGATAGCCAGAGATGTTTTGAAAAGAGTGAACATAGGTTCAGAATAGCTCAACCTATATAGACAATAACATTGTATAGATAATTCGGAATAGGAATTCTTGTATAGTTCAAGAAGTGTAATTGGAGATTGTCAGATGTGTAAGGAAGTTTGGAGATCAGATGAGGAAGAGGGAGTTGATTTGCAGTTAGTTGGATGTAGAAGGAATCTACTGAGATAGATACAAAGTTGGCTTAAAAAACAAGTATGAAGGGTAGGGTCTAAATTGAATCAGGTTGGAGGAGGTCCCTGATGTCACCTTCACATGAAAGTCATTGGGAAACTTGTAGAAGTAACGGTGGACCTGTACTATGACCGTATGTATACAGCTCACTTCTTCCCACAGTGTGTTTTAGACATGTTATCTTTTTTCTCATTATAGTGTTTAGCTTAGTAGAGATGATTTAGAAGGGGAATATAACTTTTTATTGCAATTATTTTTTTTTTTTGGAATATAGCTTTTTGAAAACTCGTAGGTTTATTTTTCATATCAGTGACAGCACTAGAATCAATGGATATTGAGGTTATAGGGAGGAAAATTTTTATAAATAAAAGAGGGAACTTTTCTAAAAATGGAGTCTTAGTCACAGGAAAGTTTGAAGAAGAGACCCAAAGGACTTTTATTAGATAAATCGTAAAGAAGATTCACACATGGGGTAGTTTAGATCAGAGAAATTGAGGGTTAAGAGAGGGTTCTCTCTCTCGAGGGGTTTAATCGTGTCCGACTCTTGCAATCCTATGGACTGTAGCCTGCCAGGCTCCTCCTCTCCAGGCAAGAATACTGGAGTGGGTTGCCATTTCTTTCTCCAGGAAGAGAGGGTTAGGTGACTGGATAACATTTGAGGTTCATGGAGAGGAACTGATGATACAAAAGAGGTCTTTTTTGGAAGACCTTATTTTTGTGTTCTATAATTTCTGACTTAAATACTTACTACATATGAAATGTAAGAAAGGGCTTGAGGCTAGAAAGAGATAACAAAGGATTTGTGGATTCTCAGTGGATCTTAGTATAGATTAGGTGTCTGGGTAGTTATTAATATATTTATTGTGTGTTAATGAAAAACGTATCTAAAATGTAATAAAGACTTAGCAAAGGAACACAGCAAAGAAACACATAATTGTTTCCATTTTAAAGAAAAAAAAATCTAGGTTTACTGTAGTGTTTGCACAAGTAATATTGCTCTTTATAAGGAAGTTGTTTTTTTTTTTTTTCTTTCAGCTCTATTTTTTCCCCCTCACCCTTTAACTTGGACATTCAGTTCCTTGTTTACAAATATTGGCTCCATTTTCAACTTCAGAAAAAACTTAAAATATCGAAGTTTTGGTGATGCAGAAATCAGAAAGGAAAAAGTGCTACATGTATTTTATTAAATCTTTAAGAAATAAATGGAAAAAAAAAAAGAAATGACCATGGAGTATTGTTCTTTCTGTTTAATATTATCCCACTCCTGTTCTTTTAAATTGCTTCTTCAGAACTAGTGAGTGGGCGTCCTGTTTTAATCAGGATGGCAAACTTGAATGTTTTATAAAATTCTAAGGCATTCTATATTTTCTGTTTTGCAGATAAATTTACTTGTTTTTTGGCCAGTAGGATTGAGGGAATTCTATTTGTATTACTCACCTTCCTTGCTTTGTGGATAGATGAAATGCCTCTCTGTAGCCTTCTTACAGGAGGACCAAAAGAGGATAGGTAACACTGAATTTGAAACTTTTTGAAGCATGCTTTTTGTGTGTATCCATCTTTCAACAAATGTGTTGTGTTAATTGCTGGGATAGAACAGATAAACAAGGCACCATTTTTGTCTTAGGACCAGACAGTGCTGTTAATCAGACAACAAAATGGATAACGTATGAGATAAGAGCTGTAATAGAGGGATGAAGAAATGTTTTGGCTTTCTGGAAAAGTGATAAGTTTGGGGAAATTAAGAAAGGCTTCATAGAGGAAATAGCATTTGGTCTGTATCAAATAGAAGGAGTAAGGGGGTAGTAAGCACTCAATGATAGCACAGTGCTTGGCACTTGTTGCACATAGAAGTGTAGCTTTCTCATCTGGTGTATCATTATTGTATTTTAGATGAGGAAGCAGGCTCAAAGAGGTTCTGTATAAAGGTCTCATAGGTACAAGTGGTGGAGTTGGTATTTCAGTGTCCCAGTCCAATAATATGCTTGAGCTTGCTCATTGTGAGCCAGCTGTTTAGGTTTCAAGAATTTTAGCAAGCTAGTTAAACACAATCATTAAATTATATGAATTTAAAAATTAAATACATTGTATTAATAGGTGTTTTAGATTTCTATTTACATTTAATTACATTATAAACTACAGTTTGTAATGTAAATTAAACTACATAAATTTAGAGTACTGTTGTTATTACCATTAAACCAGAATATTTAAATTAATCAATCTTAAAGTTATTATGTCTGTATCAATATAATACACTGCAATTGCATGTCTTCTTAGCCCTACAGATAGTCCATTTTTAGTTTGGGGTCAGCTATGTTATTGGCAAATGCTGTATACAAATCAGGACTTTATTTTTGTTGATTGTCTAGACTTAAAAGTGATAGAGAAAATATTAACGCAGATTTGCTGTGAGGCATTAGGGATCAAACCCATGTTCCCTGCAGTGAAAGTGCAGAGTCCTAACCACTGGACCACCAGGGAACTCCCTTAATGCAGATTAAACACACTTATGTCTCTATCCTAACATATTTTGAATAACACAAAATTTGAGGAATTAGTCTTACACAATTTGAAAATCATTATCCAGTTTAGCAAGGAAGTTGTTCAAATTGATGAGCCAGTGAAGTCTTGACATCCATCTTCATGTTGTGTTAAGTCAGTATTTGTTAGGCACTTTCATAGTTTTACTTTAATCCCTGCACCAGCTCTCAGAGACAAAATTTATAGGTAGGAAAATGGAAACTCAGGTTAGCAATGTAACTAAAATCTGTTAAATGAAGAGAGGGGTATAGGTGACTCAGAGCCCAAGTGAGAGTTTTTTACAATAGTAGGGGGAAACACTGAGAGCCTGAATCAAGATAGTGGGAATGGGGAAATGTGATAGAAACATTTGCTGATAGTTATTTAAAAAAAAAAGCTTAGAAAATCTGATGAGCAGCAGGTTAGGGTTTGGAGATATGTTGGCTTTTGGAAATAATTAGGGGTACCTGTGGTACAATCAGTTGATGGTAGGATCTTGGGCTCACAAGAGAGGAGTCTGTTGATAGAAATTTGGAAGTTTTCAGCCCTCAGTGTAGGTAAAGGCATGGGTGAGTTTTAAGATTCTTTAAGAATATTGGTAATAAAAATAAAGGCCGAAATTGTATCTTCTGTAGTGTCTATAATATGCAGCTGTCCTGAGTACATATTTTTATGTATGTTTTCATTTAGTTTTATCATTGTGGTGTAAGTACAACTTACCTCAGTTTTACAGATGAAGACTCTAGAAAATTCTAAAGAGTAAATACCTCTGCAGTTACCCAAACTAAGAAAGCAGAGCTCATGTTCTATTTATTGTGGTTCCAGAGCCAACGTGCAGTGAGAGAAGAGGGCCAAAGAAAGAACCCCCAGCAGTAACACAGTTTAAAGGATGAATTAAAGAGGGAGCAAGTGAGAAAGATTGAGAGGGAGTAGTTTGAGTTTTAAAGAGAACCAGGAAAGGGCTATATCTTGAGTAGAATTTCAGTGAGGTATAATCAACTTATTCAGAGACTTCAGAGAGGTAGCAGATGACTGCAAATGCCAACAACTATCTGAATAAAAGTAACATGAGAGTGCTTTGTTAAGGGTTTGAAGGTTTTGTCCTCCACACATTATTCAGCAGACTCTGCATTTGTTGTTTCTGTAGTTTTCCAACCCTTCCCAACCTGCAAAGTTTTCCAAGCTGTCTATTCCAACCAAGTCTTCTTTTTTTTTTTTTTCCAACCAAGTCTTAAAGAGATTTAATGAAGTAAGACCAGCTTCTGTTTAGCTAGTATTGGCTATTTTGGTGAATTAGACTATATAACAATTCCTGAAATACAGTTGAGTATTGAAAATGTCAGTATTCTGGTTTTTTTCTTTTTAAAATTTATTTATGCACTGGGTCTTGGTTGCTTTGTGTGCTAGGCTCTTTCTAGTTGCGTTGGGCGGGGACTCCTCTAGTTGCGGTGCGATGGCTTCTCATTGCGGTGGCTTCTCTTGTTGCAGAGCACAGGCTCGAGGCGCTTGGGCTTCAGTAATTGCTGCCCTAGGCCCTGTAGGTGTGGCGCACAAGGCTTAGTTGCTCTGAGGCATGTGGAATCTTCCCGGACCAGGGATGGAACCTGTGTCCCCTGCACTGGCAGGTGGATTCTTCTCCACTGTACCACTAGGGAAGTCCAGTACTCTGGTTTTGATAGCGGTAAAGATTGATCTAGAGCGGGCCATTTTTCCAGACCTAAGCATTTTGGGACAAGGAGTGGTTAACAATTTTAGAATCATTAACTGTTTGGATTTACTCTTAGTATAAACCAAGAATTACTGAGATGTGAACCATTTTACTTATCTACCAGAAGTAAAGATTAGTCCTGTAAGTTTTCAGACTTTTTAACATAGCAATTTTTTTTTTCCCACTCCAAACACTGTTACTCAGAACCCCATGAATGGCTAATTTCACATGTGTGCTGTGCTAAGTTGCTTCAGTTGTGTCTGACTCTTTGCAACCCTATGGACTGTAGCCCACCAGGCTTGTCTGTCTATGGGGATTCTCCAGGTAAGAATACTGGAGTGGGTTGTCATGCCCTCCTCCAGGGGTCTTCCCAACCCAGGGATTGAACCCAGGTCGCCCGCTTTACAGGCGGATTCCTACATGCTCAGTGTTTTTTACCCCCTCTGGGTGATCTTCAAAGTACCTCCTCTGTGAAGCAGAATTGGGAACCCACTGTGTGACAAGAATTATTTTTTAATGAACAAATGGTGCAAGGAGGTGGAATTGGGAGTGGGGGTGATCTGTTTTGAAATTGAAGAACCATAAGGAATCTGCTGCTTCAACATCTCATCTAGGTATATTGGTTATTTCGCCTTGGAGGAAGGGAGGGATTAAGAAAACATCTCACAGAAGCTGGGGATGCTACAGCATTGGCTTTGACTGCCTTAAAGAACTGTATGATAAGGACTGACACCTGCACTAGTTAGGAGTTTCATGTAGAGGAGAAAGCTGTTACCTGAATTAGGGAAAGCAAATGTGGTCTCTTCACCATTGAATTCTACAAGCCTGCAGGAGCTGACAGCTCAGTAAATAGTGCCCTAATACTTTTCATCCCTCGCTGAATAAACAATCCCTGATTGAACTAATTTAACTCCAGTTAGCCCTAGGGAGGACATACAGATAAAATTGTATAAGATGATGTGTATTGGAGGAAATGTCTTAGATGAAACAGTATAGGATAATGTGTATTAAAGTGCTAATTTTATAGTATGAAACTAAGTACAGAAGAAAAGAATAGCAAGACCAGGGTCATCATTTTTATGGAAGACTGGAGTTGAGTTGGGTCTAGAAGGACATGTATATAGAAAAAGTGTGGAAAGAAAGATGAAGGAAGAAAATGGTTAAGTCTTCAAGTTTCAGCTGTTAAATGTAGGGGGGGAGGGAAGGGAAGAAGCAGGCAGTTGCTCTTTCCAACTCTTGCGTTTACTGCTGTTGTAATACCTGTTGGTTCTTATGAAACAAGATATTTAATACTCTGCTACATGTGTCAAAGCTGAAAATTTTGGACAGATAACTCGTGTAATGCATGAAGTCATTTAGAAAGGGTAGACATATATATAAGCTTTTATCTTCATGTGGACCTTTTTGGCAGTTGGTGTGGATAGCATACTGAGTTTTTAATTTGTGTTAAATTTGCTGTGTGCCAATTTTATATTAACATTTGCACATTTCCGTTGCATTTGTTTTTCATTGGAAAATATAACCTAATTATTAAAAAATGTAACAAAGGAAAGAAAACTGACCCATAGTTCCTCTGCTCTAACAAAAACCACTCATCATTTTGGCTTATTTTCCTACATAGTTTAGTGGTTTATGTAGTTATCATATTCTATATAGTATTTAATCCTGCTTTTTCCCCCTTAACACTTCAGGTATTTACCCATATTTAGCCATTTTTTTGCATGTTTATATAAGGCACTTTCCATATGTTATTGCAGATGCCTTGTAACAACCCTGTAGAATAGTTAAGATTATTATTATTATTTTTTTTAGCCCTACTGCGAAGCTCAGGGAGGGGAGGGAATCCTGACTGGGGATCCGACCACTAGGGATGGAACCACCGGGGATGGAACCTGGGCGCTGTGCCGTGGAAGCAGAGTCCTCCTAACCATTGGATGCTGGGGAATCCCCAAGATAATTTTCATTTTACAGTTAGGGAATTGAGATTCAAAAAGGAATAACTTTCTTAAGAGACTGGCTAGGTCGTAAAAGAGGTGGAATTTGTTTTGCCCCAAAGCTTTTTGTTCTTTGGTCTTGCTGAATCTTCACATTTATCATTTAAAGTAGCTAACAGCAATGATCTATTATCTATTGATGCCTATAGCCAGTCACCTCTTTGTTGCCTGTATGAGGAGAGCATAATTAATTGAAACTTAAACCTTTATTTAAGCACTTAGGTTTAAAACTTCCCTCATCACAAGCATCAAAATGGAGCAGATTGTATCTACCTAACCTTGTGAGAGTTGCTGCTAAAGATGGACAGCAGGAGTAAGGGAGAACATAAATGGTTTTTTTGTTTTTTTTGGTTTTTTTTTTCCAGTTTTTAGAAATTTTATTTACTGTTTATCTTTGGCTGTGCTGGGTCTCTGTTACTGTGTGTAGCCTTTCTCTAGTGGTACACAGACTTCCTGAGAGCATAGGCTCTAGAGCGCCGGTTCAGTAGTTGTGGCACACGGGCTTAGTTGTTCTGGGGATCTGGACCACCGACCAGGGAAGTCCTACAACTTACCGTTTGAGAGTACCTACATGACAGATTCTTGTCCTTCCTCTCCTACTAAGTGAGCACCTTTGAAGCTGAGGCTTTGGAATCTGCATTTTCTCAGCTTGATAGTTGATTCCCTTGTATTTAAATTATGAATGTCATTAGGTAGTTTTTTGTGTGTCCCCTGCCTCAAATTCCTCATGCTTATTTTTCCTGTAAGTTTCTTCCTTTGGACCAAAGTTTCCCCAGTCTCTGCCTGCTAGTCTCAAGACTTGATCTTTGGAAACAATGTTAGAAGTCATATGTGTCTGGTAAGCCTGGCTCTATACCTTTTTATACTGTGGCCTACCTTGAGGCTGAAAGGGTCTTTTGAGTAGTATTTTTCACCAGCTATCAATATTATGAGCCTCCAGTGAATTGCCTGTAATTTGTTCATTAAAAGGTGGCAGTGTAACAGAATATCCTGTGTGTAACTTCATGCTGTAATCTACTCCTCAGAGACATTATGGCTACTTCTAAGAGGCTTTAATGTTTTAAGTTTTACCTTATTTTATTGTATCTTCCTTTTTATGAGCACCTTAATTGTTTAGAGTTGTTAGATAATTTAAAGGAATAAGATTTAGTGACCATTATCCATCCTGAAGTTGTCCAAAGATGTTAACTGACTTTTAAAGGTAATTAGTTTGGGGGAATGTGGGAAGGGATTCTGTGAAGTATATATGTATGATGGGCCTTTTAAAAAACTTAGGTATATATATATATATTGTTTGTTTGTTAGGTTGGTATTATTGATTGAGCATGAATCATAGATTCTGTGGTTTTGTTAACATAGTAGTGAAAAGGCTAGGAGCCTTCTCTGCCTCTTAGTGATTTGAGCAAGTAAATCTGAGCCTTTGTATTTTATGAAAATAGGGGAAAAAGCTTACTGGGTTGTTAGGATTAAATATATATGTGTGACTGAAGTAATTGCATACAGGTCTTTTATGAATATTATCCATAATCTCAGGCATATAAATAATATATATATACACACACATAAATATATATTTGTGTTTATTTTGGGTCAAACATCAAATTCTTCAGTAACTTTTGATACGGTACTTAATAATGCTGCTGGGTCCCCATTTTTGGAACAGACTGAGGAGGGCACAATACTGAAAGAGATCAGTTGAAAGGAGTCTGTAGCAAAGTTCTATTGAGAGATTACAGTAGCTTGGACTAGAGAGGTATTCATGGAGGTGTCGAGGAGGGTTCCACCTGAAATTTTTGAAGGTCGAACTGGAGGTTATATCAAATAGCTGGGAAGCATATTCAGTGATTGCTTCATTTTCTGAACTTACTGTCAAATGCTGGGAGTTGGGGGGTTTGACTGACAGGTATTAAAAAACCTTATTTGTTAAATTGTATTCTGAAGTGTTTTCAGAAATTGGTTTTATTGTAAAATTAGTTTTTGTTCAAAAGTATTCCTTACTGGAGAGCCAGTTATTTTCAAAGAATAACTGAAAAAATGTAATCTATCTTACCCTTTGTTCTGTTACTAGTTAGACTTACTATTCAGGGCTTGAAAACAGTAGATTATCCAGGCTTTTACTTCTAACCCTTTTGGTGCAATGTATGTAGAAGTTCAGCTACTAACTCTTTGTAAATGTGATGGTAGGAGAGTTAATAGTGAAATGTATTTACTTCATCCTGGTGCTCCTGTGTCATTTCCTAGAAGTATATTTCAACTAAATGTCCATTTCTGCACCTAGAAATCTCAAAAGGGAGAAGATAGAAGATACTTTAAATAAAATACTATAGCTCTGCTTTAAATTAGAGAATTGATGGAAGATATTTCTGTTCCTTCATTATGGGAAAGACAGAATATTAATTATATATAGCTTGTGATCTGTCTGCCCTTAGACGCACGTAATGCATATATTAACAGCATCAGAGATTATTAAGATTATTTTCAGGGAGTTCCCTGGCATCTGGTGATTAGGACTCCACACCTTTCACTGCTGAGGGCAGGAGTTCAATCTCTGGTCATCAGGGAAATAAGATCCCTCAAACCTCAAGGCAGGACCAAAAAAAAAAAATTCCATAAACCATATAAAACATTGAAAATTATGTTAGTATAATACTATTTTTTCATGTTAAGTTGTCTACTGTTTTCTTATTTTCAGCCAGAGGTTGTGAAGTGTGTATTCTTGTCTACCAAGGACCAGGGGGACATAAGATTTAGTTG